GGGACCTGTACACCTACAGCGTTGCCCCCTGCCGTGCTCCCCGCGGGGACCTGTACACCTACAGCGTCCCCCTGCCGCTGCTTCCCCGGGACCTGTACACCTACAGCGTCCCCCGCCGCGCTCCCCCGGGAGGACCTGTAACACCTACCGCGTCCCCCCTGCCGTGCTCCCCACGGGGACCTGTACACCTACAGCGTCCCCCTGCCGTGCTCCCCCGGGGACCTGTACACCTACAGCGTCCCCCTGCCGCGCTCCCCGGGGACCTGTGCACCTACAGCGTCCCCCTGCCGCTCCCCGGGGACCTGTACACCTACAGCGTCCCCCTGCCGTGCTCCCCCGGGGACCTGTACACCTACAGCGTCCCCCTGCCGTGCTCCCCCGGGGACCTGTACACCTACAGCGTCCCCCTGCCGTGCTCCCCCGGGGACCTGTACACCTACAGCGTCCCCCTGCCGCGCTCCCCGGAGACCTGTACACCTGCAGCGTCCCCCTGCCGCGCTCCCCGGGACCTGTACACCTACAGCGTCCCCTGCCGCGCTCCCCGGAGACCTGTACACCTACAGCGTCCCCCTGCCGCGCTCCCCGGAGACCTGTACACCTACAGCGTCCCCCTGCCGCGCTCCCCCCGGGGACCTGTACACCTACAGCGTCCCCCTGCCGCGCTCCCCGGGGACCTGTGCACCTACAGCGCCCCCTGCGCCTCCCCGGAGACCTGTACACCTACAGTCCCCCTGCCGCGCTCCCCCCGGACCTGTACACCTACAGCGTCCTTCTGCCAGCGTCCCCGGAGCCTGTACACCTACAGCGTCCCCTGCCGATGCTCCCCGGAGGAACCTGTAACCTACAGCGTCCCCCCTGCCGCGCTCCCCCCGGGGACTGTACACTACAGCGTCCCCTGCCCGCGCTCCCCGGAGACCTGTTACCCCTACAGCGTCCCCCCTCCTTGTCCCCGGAGACCTGTACAACCCACAGCGTCCCCCGCGCGCTCCCCGGGGACCTGTGCACCTACAGCGTCCCCCTGCCGCGCTCCCCCCGGGGACCTGTACACCTACAGCGTCCTTCTGCCGCGCTCCCCGGGGACCTGTACACCTACAGCGTCCCCCTGCCGCGCTCCCCGGGGACCTGCACTCCTACAGCATCCCCCTGTCGCGCTTCTCGATGGCGTGCACACACCTGCCGCGATCTCCTGTGACGTTTGCGCGCGCTGTGCTCCCCAGCGACGGCTTCACGTCGGCTGACTGGACGATCAGCGGCGCGCGTTTGGACGGCTCCCAGAAGGACATCACGGGGGAAGGCCATGGTGCTGCGGACGGTGAGCGGCGGCCCCCTCGCCTGCTGCATCATCACCGCTCTGCCCGGCAGCGGCATCGCCAGTCGAGGACGCAGCCGGGGTGTCGTCACGTCTCTCGAGAGCGACGGCAGCTAGAGGTGACGGCCGTCGGCTGTCATATGTCAGTGTTGGTCGAGAGTGCTGCGGTAGCAATTCGAGGTAGCCAAGATGAGCCCAGATATTGCCATGAAGATGGAGCCGCCTATGTGAACAATGTGTGTGTTGTGGTAATCGCAGCATGTTAGGGCACGCGCAATGCCGTGGCGAGATGCGTGTCGATGTTTTATGTAGCCTTTGGACCACAAATATTTTATTTTCAAGTATGTCGCCACCTAACAATCTACACATACATTATACGCACCTGCTCTCTGGAACTTTACATATGCATCTTAAGAGTTCCCTCTATGCTGTCAGAATGTTCCAGTGTTGAATACATAATGTTCATGCCCATCGCTCAATGTCTATAATCCAGCGCATGTTTTCCTACAGCTTTTATAAACATTTTAGTTTAGTTTCGTCGGAGGCCAGAATAACTGCTTATAAGGATATGACGCTACTTTAACACTGCTAGCGCAGTCTACCGACCTCTCCCCGGCCCAAGTTGTCGAACTATAACGACCGTCAATCTCTGACGCGGTACAACGTTAGCTTTTTGACGCGTCACCACTTTGCCCCTTCTCTCGCGCTGGGCGGGGAGAGTGGATCACGGTCGGCCCGGGCCCCGTCGGGGCACAGGTCTAGGCCCGCTCCTGCAGACCGGTCTGGGCCCGCTCCGCCTGCAGACCAGTCTGGGCCCCTCCGCCTGCAGACCGGTCTGGGCTCGCTCCGCCTGCAGACCGGTCTGGGCCCCTCCGCCTACAGATCGGTCTGGGCCCCTCCGCCTACAGATCGGTCCGGGCTCGCTCCGCCTGCAGACCGGTCCGGATTTGCTGCGCTGGTGAGATCTGCTCCGGCCGATCTCACCAGCGCAGCAGCTCATCTGACGCCCCAAACTGCAACGTGGAAATCAGCCCGCGGCGGGGCAGCTGTTGTGATGAAGCGGACAGGAAGGAGTCCAGTGCCTGGATGCCTTCGCATGCGTGCCCCCTCTGAGTGTCGATTGTCAGTGGTGTGGAATTCGAAAATTCGGACGCTATTCCAGCGCGTGTTCGGCAGCAGAGGCGAGCTAGTACCTTGGCTTTTATTGGCAAGGTTGAAATGTTCAGTACAATGCGATGAAAACGTGCTACAACGTGCGCTGCATCTGAAAAGTCACCGCTGTACGAGACGGATGGGGTCTGCAGGATCCATACAAGAAATTGCGTTCGTTCGTGCTCTATGGGCCTGCCGACGACCATTAGGAGGTAACTGATCACGAACATCGGAATCAGGTTCACAGTCTCCAGTAAAAATTCAGGAAGTCAGACAAGTTTCCAGTTGTAAAGAAGCCTGCTACAAGTAGCTCATTTTATATGTGTGTACCCATTACACATAAGATTGCTACGCGGCACATAGTGTGACAAACATAAAAAAGTTATCGGAGTTTATGGTAGATGGTGCCCTTTCATTAACCATAACATGGCGAAGCCGACATGATAACCACTGCGAGGCACAAGGTACACTGACCTCATGATGCACGGGTGCACGCAGCGGAGGTTGGATTACCGACTAGAGCAGGATTCGTGACTTTTCGTGGCAAGCATACACACCGCCCCCTGGGGTAAGTCACGCTTCGCAGGAAGTGACACATCCCTGCCACCCCAGCTCGGGGTGCAGCGTAGCGCGCCGATCACCGCCAGCGATGACGTCACGGTGTCATCATCACTCCGCGGTCGAGCTGTCCAGCGCGCCACCTTCCTACGGCGACAGCGGCCAAACCGCAGCGGTGGCGCTGCCTCCCGCATTACCACTTCGACGGTAGCGTCACCTTTTCCGCGACGGCGCTGTCACCTGCTTAGTTCGTGGTCCGGCCGCAGCGATCGACCCGCGCTCTCCGCTACAACACCTCGTCCAAGCTGGTGGTCTGCGTGTCGGACGTGCGGTTCGAGATGACGGACGACTGGGTGACCAGCGGGTGGCGCTGGCTCGGCTTGGCGAACAGCTTCTCCTCACACGCGCCGAAGCACTGCAACCAGCGCGCCCGCCGCACGTGAGCACTACCATCACACAAGTACGCGCCCGACACACAGACGCACCTACGACACGAGGGTGCAGCCATCACACACGAACGCGCCGTCATCCACGCGCATCCTGTCACGTGCGAACGCATTGGTTACGTCACGCGCCGATAGCACGCGTCACGCCTGGCAACATTGGGGACGTTTTGTGTGGCGGGCCGCCCGCCCGGCCCCTGGCTGCCACACAGAACGGAGAGACGCTGACCCAGCGTCAGCCCGCTGGTGCGCTCACCAGCAGGAGGCCGGCCAGCGTGCCCAGCAGCATACCGACCAGCACGTCCGGAAGGTGGTGCCGGTGGTCGGTGATGCGGCTGAAGCTGATCACGCAGCCGTACATGACGCAGCAGAAGATGAGACCCACGCGCAGCACTGCCCGCCGCCGGCCGCGGCTCCGGCTGGCCAGGTACAGCTGCCGGCCGGGCACCGGTCAGGTCACAGGTTATGGGGTCAGGTCACAGGTCACGGTGTCAAGTCATAGTGGCAGGTCACAGGGCACGGCACCATATCACAGGGTCCAGGTTCCAGGCCATGGGGGCAAGTCACAGGGTACGGGATCAAGTAACAAGCAGCGGGAATGAGTTCAAGTCACAGGGACAGGTCCCAGGTCCCATGATCAGGTCATGGATTCAGGCCACAAGGACAAGTCACAACTTCTGGAGTCAGATCACTGGAGAAGGCCGCGGGGTCAAACGCAGTTAATTCGCAGACCCCGGTTGCGCTTAACAACGTGAACTTAAAAGGCTGACTTAACAACGCGAACTTAAAAGGCTGAGGTCACAAGTCCGGGCCAGTCCTTTAACTAACATTACAATGCAGGGTCACGTTTGGTATAGCGAGACAACAACTCGCTTGTCATGAGGACAAACAAAACGCCAAGCGTCACGGGTGATGACCACGCCGACAGCAGACCCCCATACGCACGATTAACTACCTTGACAAGACCTGCGCAGACGACGCCGCCCGCGCGAGCCTCACCGCCAGAAAGGTGGCTGTGCAGCAGGAGATGGCCGAGTGGCCTGAAGGGAAGGACAGCATCGAGTCCTGGATCAGCAGCTCCGCGGTGTGGCTCTTCGCCGTCGCCATCGACGCGCACCGGAACTCCGAGATGAAGAAGCTAGAAAGGTCGAGACGGGAACGTCAGACAGGTAGGGGCCGAGCTCCCCGTCGCAGGCAGCAGGAGATGTGGGACGGGCTGTCAGCCGTCCGAGAGGAACGAAGGAATGAACAGAGGAGGCGGAAGGGACAGTGATAATCCGTGACAAATGCTCCTTTGCGACACACTCAGCTGATGAGACTTTATATATATATATATATATATATATATATATATATATATATATATATATATATGGCATCCCCTGCCTTTCACCCAGGCAGGAAGGGCAGACACCGTGTTAAGTCGAACCCCGTACCTCTGGTTTCCCAGACACACAGCTTAACAACTACGCTACCGGTAGCCCCAACACTAGATGCTAATGCTGAGATTGTTCAAAGTTGGGTTGCTGACGCTTCTGACCCCTACGTATTCCCGTGCCCGGGCTGTTGACACCTCAAAAGTCGACAGCAAACATGAGTACGGGTAAAAAACAACACAAAATACAGTTCAGCACAAAAAGTGTGGAAAACATAGCTCGTTTCTAAATATGTTCGCGAATATGACTTAGGTGACTTTTCCAACTAAATTCACCCAACTTGGAGGGCTGGCTCATGTTGTCAAACTTAAATATACTTAGCGTTTGGTAAACTGTTACTGCGTGAAAGAGCATTATTCTTTCATATTTACAGTATCCTTACACTATTCTTCTCAACAAAAGATCAAACAAATCACGTTTCATGCGGCTTGTCTGTCCAATTTAGGGGTCTGACCCTAGGGGTCTGAGTCCCCCAGGTACCCACCACGTTAGAAGTGGCCTTACTGAACAGTTCCGAACACATTATTTGGAAAAGAGACAATTTCAGAACACCACGACCTCAATGAGGTCTATTTCTGATGAACACGTGCATTTCCTTGTCTTTGTCGCGACACGCAGCAGTAATCGCCCATTCGGGGACGACAGCTTCCACGAGTGCTGCAGGCTGCACGTCAGGCAGGTCGGCGCCCTGCATGTTCGGCTTTGCTCCCCCAGTGACGTCACCAGTCTTGCCAACCGGCCGCACACGCGGCCTTGGTTCTGGACGGAACCAGTGGCCGCCGCCCTTGACAGGGATCAGACAGCCCCGCAATGGGTTTCCGCATCACGCGCGGGCGCGGCCGGAACCTTCTGATGTCTCGGTCACAGGTGCGTAACAGTATTAAGTGGGGGGGGGGGGAGGGGGGGAGGGGCAGTGCGCAGTTGGATGACAAAGACCCACTCAAACCGTCAAACCGACTCATGGATTCCGAATCACGCAGGACGACGCCGACCACGTAAGCCAACGCTCATTTTGCACCGTTCGGTTCTTTCGAACATCGCTCTAGCACCAGCCCAGCGCAGCACGCAAAGCAGGACTGATCGGTTTTGAACCTCGTGGGAAGCCCGACTAACATGGAGAGCCGCGATCCTTCCCGCAGCGCTCCTCGCGAGCCTGCCGGAAGTGCGCGATCTGAACGCGTCTGGCGGAGACAGGAAGGCTGACGGCATGGTCTGGACGTCACGGGCGTGTTTTTCAGACCATGCCCGATTGCTCAGAACTCAGGCATCTGTGAGATAGTCTTCGGTCGTATGAGACGCGGTCCGAGGCAGGAGGTGAATTGTGCGGAAGCGGCCTCAGTAGAGGTTTAGGGCGAACGCGCGTATTCCAGAGGAAAAGGCCCGTTTTCTTCCACGCCATTTTATACGAAGACACATTTTTGGAGCACAAATCGTGAATGAGTCATTGACTCACTGAGTCATTGACTCAGTCAATGAGTCAAGTTGGGCACGTTTAACGATTCAGGTGCAGGCGGCTTCATCACCCTCAACGGACCGGGTGGCGCGGCAGGGCGCTGGGCGAAAACGGTGCTTAGAGCCATTAGAAACACATTCCCAGTGTATCGTGTGTAACGCGTACTGTAGCGCAAAAGACGACCGGAGAAAGAGTGCGTCAGAATTCTCAGGTGCTTTGCGATTAATGACGTCGGTGCCGAGTTGGCTGCGTCGCGATGTCGGCGAAAGAGCGTCGAAAACTGAACATCAGACAAATTAGCCTAACCGACGACAACCGACCAGCACCGCACGATCAGCGTGCGCGCGCACAGGCCGCCAGTTCGACTCACTTATCGTCGCAGAGCGTCTGATTGTAGCCGACGGGCTGGCACAGGTCGAGGAAGGAGGGCCGCGGCCGAGACACCAAGCACTTGACCACCTCGACGGCGGCGAAGAGGAAGGCCTGGCAGCTGATGTGACGCGCCGTCAGCACCGCCGCCGTCCACAGCGGGCGCGTGAAGCTCCAGCTCCAGCCCCGCCGCTGCTGAGCCAGCTCCACCGCCACGATCTGTCGGCAGTGCAGGCGCGGATACACAAGTGCGTGATTTCGGATGCGGCGTGTGTGTTTGACAGAGGCGCATGGTCGTGAGGTGCGATGCGGGATCGGATGCACATGTATACGCAAGAGAGTTGGGATACAGAATCTGACGCGGGTACGCATGTGCAAGAGTTAAAACACGGGATCTGACGCGCATATACGCGTTCGGGACCTGAGACCAAGCATCGGGCGGCGGCACTCGGTCCTTCTTCTACGTGCAGGGATCTTGGATCCCTGCACAAAGCTGCAGCGGGGAGCCCATCGTTGGTAACAACAGTATCGCGACCTCCCGCGGACCCACCGACGGATACAGGCTGCCCGCTTCCGTGGGGTTCAGGGACCGTGCGGGCAGCCGCAGCTGCCGAGACAAACAAGCGAACCGGAACAAACAGGCAGCTGAGGCTGCGTTCGGCCGATACAAAGTTTTTGAATAAAAATTTGGATCCGGTCACCATTCACGGAGATTTCCCCTTAGCGCTCAGCAGGCCCCGACATTATCTCCCAGCTTCTGTTAACATGCGCCATGTATAGTCTTCGGTCAAAGCTAGGTGTGACGGAAAAATATTCTCCGTCTTGACTACGCCCTGAAAATCATCCGGGGCTCACCTTTGGCATAGATAATCAAATGACAAAGTTTTCTGTGCTGGCCGTACCGGACGCCATTCCCGAAAATTTTCCAACATTCCGTATAGTTCTTTGAAATTGGGTGCCCACCGAACGCACCCTGAACACGTACTCGGGTGGAGGTAAACCTGACCTCCCAAATCTGCGCCAAATTTTGTACAGCTGCAGACAATTGAAAAGCAAACTGTTAGGTATCAATAATTTAAATGTACCTTGTAACGGTGCTGATCTAGAACGGATCAGTCAGGCCATTGATTCAGCGCAGTCAGTTTCTAAGGGACCGTTCAATCTGACGCAAGAACGGAATGCCAGACTTTCTGCCTCTCATAACATAGACTCATGAGATACTTTCTTAATCAAGACGACAATTGAATGAACGTATTTTAATTGACCTAGGGCGAGGCGTAAAGGTCAAACCACGGTCAAAGCCAATCTTTTTTATTTCTCTAGTGGTTGCAATATGGGGTAGCTTCTGGTGCCCATTTATAATTTTTTGATAGCAGGAACCACACTATGCATCTTCCATGGACTTCTCAAAGGTCAGAATAGGTCTATGACCTGAAACGACCCAATTCACATTTTGTTTTTAGCAGCATACTGCCCCGCGTAATCTTTGTCACTTATTCAAATGAAAAACTCAAAGCAGTCATCTATGATTTTGGTCACCATGACCTCCGAAGGGTCTAACTAGGTAACTAACCTTACATGAACATGTGACCTTCGGCTTGGAACAAGTATCTAGGTCATGGGGCACTTTAGACACCAACCTGGAGTTTGACCTTATTTGACCTTGGTCAAGGAGCCTCAAACTTTGCTCCAAGTGAAGTCAGGTACAGGCCAACACACCATGTGAATTTGATGTGTCTGGCTCTCTTAGTTTCTGAGAACTCGTAGGGTCAAAGTGACCCCCACCCGAGCGAAGGGTATCCAACCAGCCACCCGGGCACGTGTGAACTACAGCGTCATTAAGACGTGCAGGCACCGACAGCTACTCGCCTGCTGCTGCTACACCTGCTCAGCAGCTGCTCACTACTCACCACAGCCGGTGGCAGCAGGATGGTGAGCAGCGCCAGCGCCGTGACGGAGACGGTGTCGCCGTGGAAGGGGTAGGTGATGCTGCTGTCGTGGCAGAAGAAGCCGGGCGCGGCGGGGCCGCGCCGCCGGGTCACCAGCACCACCGCCGCCGCTGCCGGTCGGGGCACGCTCCGGTCAGCACGGGACGGGCGGGGCCAGCCGCTTGGGGCCCGATCCGCGCGGCCGGAACGACCAGCGAGAGGGTGGCGAGGGCGACAGATGCCATGGAAAGCCCTGGGCAGGACCGGACCGCTCGCCGATCAGCTCTTCGCTCCAGTGAGGCGTTATGCTAAACTGTCTTTATCGTGAGCCACGGCATGCATACGTTAGCCTCCTTTAGATCAAAGGACACGGGTCTCACGTGCTGTGACTTCGTTGAGCCTTGATGGAGGGTGACCAAATGTAAGTCTCGTTCTAGTCCGCGTGACATGTCGGCGCACAATCCGAGAGCGCCGCTGCGCCGTCTCGGGTCGACGATCGAGGGGTGACTCCGCGGTCTGTGCCGTCCGAGCGGCGCCACAACGAGCTCGATAAAGGCCACTCGGGCACCGGCGCCGACCGTTAGCCTGCAGAGCGGCACCCGCGTCCTTCACATCGCCCGACGACGTGTCACTGCCGGTAAAGTGGTGCGGCGTGGGCCGTCCGCACGCCGCCGCGCGGCCGTTAGCGGCGGCAGGTGCCGGACGCGACGCCCGGCCGGCGACCGAGCGGGCCGAGGAGGCGCAGCCTACCGCAGAGGACGAGGCAGCTGTCTCGCACGTAGGGCACGCTGCCCCGCAGACACCGCAGGCACCGCGCCCAGCTGGAGGTCGACTTCTGCGAGGCGTCCGTGGACGCCATGCTGCGGAGGAGAGCGCGCGTCACGCACCACGGGTCAGGTCAGCACGCGCTGAGAACGGTAACATGTGGCGCCACGGCGCCGGCGGCCGCGCGCCGGCCAACTGACGCCAGTGCGGGGTCAGGAAATATGCTTAGAACACACAAAGCAGGCGTTGCGGTTTAAGGATGGATAAACCGGTTGCCCAGACTTTATCTGTTTGGCGTAAGGATTAATGGTTTGATAAGGGAGGTTGGTCACCGTCGTTCCCGTTTCACAGCTATGAAAGACGACTGCCTGATCAGCGACTGCATTGAGCTACATTTTGCGCAAAAGTATGCAAATCAGTGATGTGAAATCACTAGCACCAACCACGCACGCGAAACCTTTCAAGCACATCCAGCGACTAATTCGCCAAACCATTCTGTTCAGGCGCGTCTGTGCATTACGTCCGGTCAAATAAGATACTGCCTCGGTTAACACAAGACAAGCGCTCCCGCTACTGCACGGCTCTGAGTAGGTTGGTGTCATCCAGATCTGAAGTTTTGATCGAGGTCAGCTCCGCACGACATGACGCGACGCGTTATGCACCAGCGTATACTGACAATAATGCTGAGCGCTCATGTTACCGATACGGCATAAAGACGCGGGCGAACAAATTTGTTGCCGACGACAGAATCAACCGTCAAGAGCTCATGTCCAAGTAATGCGATGAAGCAGCACGCAGGACGTGGCAAATCGGGAACAAAGGACTCATTAGCCTGATCCTCGCTGCCCCAGTCAAGGCGAAACGGCGACAGGCAAATCATTCTTAATAGACGGCGCTGGGCCAAGGAATTACAACTACTGACGTGTTGCTGCTACGCATCACGCACATCATCAAACGCCACTGCTATCATCATAAAAACACACACGTCACTGATCCCATGTCCCGGCATCCAAGGTCACCTTGTCTCTCCAGTAGCGCCGTAACTCGTCGACGCACAGGTACTCGAGCCACCTCCCGTGCCACACACCGTGATTCGCACTCCCGCGAGGCGCACCTCTCCGCTCGGGGCGCTCGGCCCGGCCTGCTCACCGCGGCGCCGTGGTCGCGGCCCCCGCACACCAGCGTCCCTCCCACCACTCACTAGCCCGACCGCCGCAGGCAGGCGGCCGCCGGAAGGCAGGTGGTCCAAGGTCACGGCAGGGTCGGGGCGGGTGTCCCAGCCGGCGCAGGTCCGGGTGACGACAAACACGCCCCCGTGTGTCACCCGAGTGTGGCGCCCTGCCCTCCCCTCTCACCTTTCACCTCCCCTCTCCCCTCCCGCGGCGGCCGGCTGGAGATGTGACGGCATGGCCAGGCCGCCGCGTACGGACTCCGGCAGGGTAGCAGGACTGTGCTGTCACGCGGGGGTAACGGGCCGCTGATGGCGACGCGAGGACGAGAGGCACCGCCCAGGCACTGCCCCCGAGCCGGGGCTCCTGATGCTGAGCGGCAGACGCTGGCACTCCGACCCGGGCGAAGCCCACCGTCACTGGGCGATCAGCTCCTGACGCCGAGCAGGAGCTCCTGACGCTGAGAAAATGTCTCCTGACACCGAGCAGGAGTTCCTGGCGCTTAGCAGGAGCTCCCAGCGCCGGGCAAATATCTCCTGACGCCAAGTAGGAGCTCCTGACGCCGAGCGAATATTTCCCGGCACTGAGTAAGACGCTTGCGGCAGCGGTCACCACTCCGTCGCCGGACGACCCCCGACCTCCGCCGATAGCGGTCGTTCGTATCAGCCCCCGGGATTAGCGCGCGAGGCTTGAGCGCCGCTTCCAACGCACGGACTGGGCCGACGTGGGTCGGTGAAGTGGACCGGGCCGCGGCGGCGGCTCGACACGCTTCGTCAAATTTTCATTGTGGTCCGACTGGCGCGCCAGCCGGGTTCCAATGACATGACGCGGAGTCGAAACGGGCACGGGCGGCGCGTGGTCGCTCGGCGTTGGAGGCAAAAAGAGAAATCCAAGATGCTTCGCGAAGGACACCCAAGGTCGCAACGCGGGGCAGAAGGGCGTCGGGGAAGTGGGGGAGGTTAGTGACGCCGTGGACCCCGCTGCTGCCTTCCCTGGCGGCCCTTGGACCCGGCTCCTAGTCTCACTCCTGGCCCGGCTCCTGGCTCCCCAGCGTGCGCGGTCAGGAATGCGAGGCGTGTTGGCCGGTCGCGGGAGCCAGCGCTGACGCCGCACACGCGGGCCTCACTACTCAGCAGGGACGGCACCGGAGAAATCTCCCGCCAGAGCGGCGAGCACCCGGTCCTGGTGACGACCCGCAGGCCGATCACCCCCACGGCGGACAGCGGCCTCCCTGTGTAACCACTCCTGGTAAACGTTATGAAGAGTACATGTAGTGAAGTTAAAAGCATGCGTCAGAACCAAAAAGCATAGCGACGTGATAGACCATGCAGCTCTGTGCGTTTGTAAACACAGTGCCAATCAGAGAAGAAGCGGCGCATTTTACACAAAAAAGAGTGCTCCACCTTTGTAAGGGGTTTCGAACTAAAAAAGCCATCTGCAAGTTTATTTGGTGCAGTTTGCAGCCTTGCATTCTTCAGATATAAGCCCGCTAGTTTCTGAGCTTCACGCCCGCGAAGATGTGCAGACTATTTCGGGAGACTTTTTCAAGGTAACCCAGGTATCCATGATGCCATGATAACGTCATTCAAATCCTGCCATTCCATAAGCCATGCGGCGATCAAGAGCAATAGAAATAGAAATGTCATTTTGTTCATATCCAGCGCTCGTTAGTGCGAATTCAGATATAATTGTGGTTAATTGGTTCCCAATCAATGTTGTGCAAGATGCAATGACGCAGTCAAACAACAGCGTATCAAGGGGCATGTTTACTAAATCTAGAAATTTCACTTTTTTAGAGCAGTCTTTCTACTTAAAAGTATATCAATAGTCATAAGTGAGCTTATTTCATCATAAGCTCACTTATGATGAAATGAGCTCACTGGACATCAGCCTCGTGCAACGCGTCTCCACAACGCGCCACTTCCGCCCCATCGTGCACAGTTCTGAGTCGCGCCCGTGTCTGGTGACGTCACGTGGAAAATCTAGCAGGAAGCCACCGAGCTTGGACATGACGCCACACCTGGAAGTGCCGCCACGCACGCGGCGCCTGGAAGATTGCGCGAGTCTGTTATCTCCCTCTTCCGTGACCTGATGCGGTCGGAGAGAGCCGGGAGAAGTGGTGTGACGTGCAGTCTGAGACCTCAGCTGAGCTGTGAGACGGGAAAAGGCCGAGAGCGCGCTGGGGTCCAACAAGCCAGCCTACCCCAAATTTGTGTCAGTCCGCATTATTTTGACGAACGGTAATTTCTGCAATATTTTCGCATTCTTGTCGTTAAGGTGTTTATGTCAACGGCATGGCTGTCATAACCATCAAAGAATGCCAAGGAAAGCAAGCTTTGGGTTTATTACAATCTTTCCTTACTTTTTCCAAATTATAACAAACGTATTGGAAGATACAAACCAACGTTAAGAAGGCCAAAATTTACATGGGAAGGGCAAAGGAAAAGGAAGAAAAGAAATCGACACCGATAACCAGAGTACAGGGCTGCATGGTAATAACACTGGTTCTAACGTCAATGCTTAAAATATAGCAACATTTTGAGGTTATAGCGGGAAGATAAGTACTTTTCAAGGAAAATTAACTTTGCAGCCAATCTGGAGTGTAAAAACGAACGAATGAAACATTACGAACGAAGTAAAACAAAATAGATTCAAGCCATATCGTGGAATGTGGATGTCAGTGCCAAAGTGGCGATGCTGATGAAACAGCAAGTTGGCAAGCTGATCCCACATTTATGCAGATACATAGGATAAAGCGAATTGCCATTTGCAATTAACTTCTTTGTGATCCCGAGAGTTGCCCAAAGCACAAGTACGGGCATGTTTCCTCACGAAGCGTGTAGGTGAGAGGAGAGACATGAATCGCAACGACAAAGCAGCAGTGAAGATGACTCAGCAGCCCCTTACAAGAAGATCTGGATGCAGTCAGTCACTCACCAACTTACTGCTGGAAACTGGGCTGCAATAGGAATAAATACAGAAAGGCCTCCGACTAAGAACCAAGCGAAAGGTCAGAAAAATTAGGGTTTGTCGTCTTCCCCAGGGGTGCGCTGTCGGCCACAAGTGTGACAGATGCCATCATGAACACGAAGCCTACGTCACCTATTGCTGAAATGATAAGCTCTGCAATATGATTTTATGGTGGCTCTGGTGGTGAGACACTAAAATACGTCAAGTTCCAGCCCAAGGAAAGTTTCTGAGGAAGGTGATGGTGTAGAAAACCGTAAGCTTACGCGCGATTTTAGTGGTGGTTGTGGCTGGAGGGGATGGGGTGGGGGGGGGGTCATGAATATAAACATAATTTCTCTATTTTGTTTCGCTCTCAATTCTGCAAAACTCTGCGTCCATTTCAGTCGTAACTAGATTCTACGCGTCAATCCGTTCGTGACGTCATCGACCAAAGGCCTCTCAGATGGCCTTGCTCATGGAATGCGTTTCTCACTTTTCGGGACAGCTGTGCGTGCCGGCTCGTCAGGGGCGGATCCAAAAGGGGGGAGAGGTTCGGGTCCATGGCCCCTGGGGTCCGAAGGGCCCATAGGCTCCGAAGGGGCCCATTGCCGGCCGAACCGATGCAGTTTTTTACACAAAACGCAACAAAGCTGGACGTCTTTGGATTTTCAGGTGACCAAGAACAGTTACAAGCGAAAGTGAATGGCTCACGAGTAGTCAACAAATTACTCAGTGATTGAACAATTTGGTCGCTGTGAATTGAAGGCTCATTACACCGTCCAGGGGCCCTATGCTGTTTCCGAGGCACTTACATACCCACTTGCAGGGTCATTCCAATCTTTAAGAAGCCTTCCTCGTTGCCCTCGATTTCTCTGCATCTGCGAGGAAGGCCCTGTACTGTCGTTGGGGCCCTTCCTGCTGGCGTGCCGGGGCGCTCCTGTCAATCAGGGGCCTTCCACGGATGTTTTCCATTCGCCAGAAAGGCTCTGTGCGCTGGAGCCGGAGTCCCATATGTTAACCTGCTGGGGTATTTTCGGTTACTCAGGGGCCCTTAACGTTGGTCTCGGTTACCCTACTGACGCACCCGCGATGTATTCATGGGCCCTCTTCAATGGTCTGGGGCGCTTCCAATCCTCTGCTTAGGGCCCTACACTCTTGTCGGAGGCCCTGTCTGTTAACCAGTTCGGGCACACTCGGTCGTTCGGAGGCCGTCTACACCGTGTCGTGAGCATTTTTTATTCAAATTGAGGGCCCTATCCTCCTGTCGGGGACCCACATCTGTTAAACTGCTCGTAAATACTCGATCATTCCGGGGTCCTCCATGCTGGGTCTTCGGTGCTTTTGGAATGGGTGGATTGCGTTTAAATGGATTGCGCTACATTCTTGGTGGGCCCATCTATTAAGCTGCTCGGGCCGGTGGCGGATACAGAGGGGGAGGGGGGGGGGGGGGGACAGGCACGGCACCATGCCCTCATGGACCATGCTGAGGGGACCCATAGGTTCCGAACGGGCCTGTAGATGGCCGAACGGACGCAGTTTTCTACGAAAACACCGGTAAAATTTGACATATTTGGGCCTACCTTCTTACGCCAGCACACACATCTTACGACTACGAACGGTTGCAAGCGAAAGTGAAGGGTTCATAACCAGACGAACTCAATTCTTCGCTGACTGAGAGGGTGTTGATAAGCTGAAATTGTGCGGCTAATTACACTGTTCAGAGGCCTTACACTGTTGCTCGGGTTCTATATGTCCTCTCGGCGGGTCAATCAGCTCGCCAAGGGGCGTTCCACGTTGCTCTTGATGTCTTTGCATTTTCTTGTAGCACCCAACGCCGCTGTTGCGACACCATCTTTTCCATGCCTGGGCACTCTTGATCGATCAGGTTCTCCGCCATGGATTCTTCCCATTCGCCCGAAAGGCTCTATACGCCCCATATGCCAGGGTACACTCAGTTGCTCAGGAACCCTTCATATCGGTCTCGGGTTCTTTCCACTTGCTCGGAGGGCCTTGCGTTGTTGCTGGAGCCCGTATACAAGGTAAGGAACCGAGACACTCGATGCCCAGGAGCCCTATACCTTGACCGAGGGGTATTTCCCTTTGATCTCATTGGCGGAGGACTCTTCACTCTTATCGGGGTTTTTCTGTTAACCTGCTCGATCACGCTTGGTCGTATAGTGATACTAATTCATAGTCTTGGGTAATTCCTCTTTCCCCAGAGGGTTCTGTGCTCTGGCCGGGGCCTCACATGACAGCCTGTGGGAGCGACACCGATCGTTCAGGGGCCCACCACGTCGGTTTTGGGTTCTTTTCACTTGGTTTGAGAACCCCATTCGCGTCGACGGAGCCTCTTCGTTAACCTCCCGCGGCACCTACGATCGCTCAGCTCCCGTCCCTATTGGCCTTTGTGCCCTGGCCTCAGAGCAGCAGTTGGATACGTGCCGATGAGGCTTTACGCGCCATTGCCAATCGTAATTTTACGTGCCGCCCAAGTCGTATGTATCGTTTCCTTTGGCTATTAAGTGTGGTACGTTTAGTACACTTGTGCATCATGCTCTTAACATATCTTAAATGCTAGGATATTTCGTAGTGCTTTATAACAAGCGAAAAATGCTGCACTAGTCATCAGCCATCAGCTGATTACATCACCCAGCCAGCTACCCGTAAATAAGCTAGGAATGAGGTCTATGCTTGGTTATGATGGTGTTAAGCAGCGAACTTGAGTTTATTTTGCCTGTTTTCCGAAAAACCTAGCCTCAAAACCACAGGATTTAGGATGATCTGGAGAAAATGGACGAGCTCCATGTTTATGTGCATACGTAGCACGCCTAGCGTTATAGGGCTGCGCACAGTAAGATGGGTTCCCGTATTACATATATATATATATATATATATATATATATATATATATATATATATATATAACGTTCAGACATTCCTGTGACCTACAGCCGGATTTCCTCTAAAATGTATATGTTTAAGCAAAGTCGCTAGTCTTAGCCCGTGTGGTAAAAGCCAAAGATCGTAGTTGAGGACAGCGGTTACGGTAACACCAAGTAACTCCTCTAAACGTTGCTAAGCTCGACTCAATGGCGATAGCACCAGTATACATATATATATATATATATATATATATATATATATATATATATATATATATATATATATATATATATAGTGTTGTTTGTCATAATATTTAATGGTCAGAATGCGAGAATATTTTTTGGGAGGAGCCTCAAATTCTAGGTGGCCTCACAATGTTGCTTGCCTTCCCCGTGACGAAATCCTGGATCCGCCCGTGCGGCTCGTTAATCTGGGTGTGCCTGTGGCAATGCAAACTCCGATGGTGCAGTGCTCACACTATGAAAGATATGCCACCAGAGCCATGCTCTCAGATATCAGGCTGGGTCAAGGACATCGATTTACCCCAGTTGTGTAGCTGACAGGCATGGGCAGGCATGGACAGTCGGTTCTGGTCGTCGGAGCTGATGAGCGCGGATGTGGACTTGTACAGCTGCATATGAGATGACAAATGCAGATAGGTGGCCTCTGACCAGTCTCCTTTGCGGCATCATGTCAAGCATTGTGTAGCTGTTTGAGAACGGTGTGGTGTGCGCACACAGCTGAATTACGAATCGCCTTGTAGGTCACGGACAGTGGTCCCGTGATGGTTCTCTTTGTATGCGGTATTCTTGTCAAGTAAGCCGAAGTCGACCGACCAAAAAGAGATGTTGATGCTAGGCACTTGCACCAGATCATCAGAAGAAGCGGAGGAGTCGTCACGAGGACCTGACAGAACGCGCGAGATGGGCTCCCGGTTTTTTGCTATATATGCGGTCTTAGTCGCCCATGTACTGAGCACGAACGGTTGGTTGAACGTCCGCGTCAGTTATTGCATGGAAGTAGGTATACGACACGATACGGCGAGTATCACCCCCTTCAAGACAAATATAACTCATACGAGTTAGCCGTGATCTGGCAGCATTGAAACACATACTTATATTGTTGTATGAACGCGTTTCAGAGAAATTTCTGACGCTTTGTTGAACGCCACATCTTCTGTGCCTTCGAAAGCCGTGATGTTATGTTCAGCTTTGATGTAGTTACGAAGGATATTCATGCTTGTCAGCTACCCATATATGCGTGCATTACTTTCTTGCAACTGCCTCCAGCCTGCTTGCATGCCTTACAAAATCGCCAGGTGTCTGTATTCATCGCTATACAGCAGCCTAGTGCCATACACGGAAGCCCGAAGGCAGCCGTGGCGTGGTGGGCACTGCGCATCGCACGCGATCAATTTTGGTTCTAGAATGGAAGAATGTATTTTTATAGCACGGGAGAATATATTTTTCTGGCATGGAAGAATATATTTTTCTAGCATGGAAGAATATATTTTTCTAGCATGGAGGGGCAGTGGTGAAGCCAGGGGACTGTGGGGCTATGCTCCCCCAAAAGGTGTGGGGGGGGGCATAAAACCAGCCTATATACAGATAAATTGGATCCCGAGCCTCAAAAGGTCCCCGAATTTAAGCACAGGACCCCTAAGAGGCGAAATGGCCCCAAGTTGGCTGGAACGGCTCTCTGTGGCCGGCTTTGGTTTTCTCCCGAGTCCGTTCCCCTCCTGAAAAAGATGATACTACCTGTCCTAGCGAAAACATTTATTCGTTCAGCACGGCCATATGTCGCTGGCTGCTCAGAACAACATGTTTATTAATCGTTCAACTTACCAGCTTACTTGTTCTGCGGTGTTTACGGTGTGATGCAGATGTGGGGATCGAGCGGCGCCAAACACACTTCCGGTCTGCGTTAATGCTGGTGCCGACTATCGCAGATTAGATAACGTCGTGACATTCCTGTGACCTACAGCCGGATCTCCTCTAAAATGTCTATGTTTAAGCAAAGTCGCTGGCCGTAATCCGGGTGGTAAAAGCCAAGGATCGTAGTTGAGGCCAGGGGTTACGGTAATACCAAGTAACTCCTCTAAACATTACTGAATTCGACTCAATCGCGACAGCAGCAACGTGACAATCCCGACTGAGGCATAACAATGCGCTTCATGTCACTAATCTGGACTCATTTGTAGCGTTACAGCCTAGCCTCAGTTCGACCAGCAGTTCAGCAGGCCTGAGAACAGTTTTAACGAGGAACTCAGTGAACTTTGACCTGGGCTCGTCCGTGGCGGTGCCCGCTGCCACTGCTTCACACGACCGGCGACGCAGCGCGGGGTCAGGCGTCTCAGTGACCTTTGACCTGGGCTCGTCCGTGGCGGTGTCCTCTATGTCACTGCATCGCACGGCCGGTGACGCGGCGCGGGATCAGCCGTCTCAGTGACCGCCGACTCGGACCAAGTCGGCCCAGGCCTTGGCCCAGCCTTCAGAGCACACGCTGACCACGGCCCAGCCGCCACGATGGTCAGCCTGATCCTGAACCCCGCAGTGGGCCGCCTGACCAGGAACCAGCCTTCTCAGTCCCGTGTGAAGCCGTCCAAGTGACCACTGACCCGGTCCTAGCCCTCGGAGCGATCATTACACAGGTCCCTGCCGTCAGTGGCCGCCGACCTCAACGCAGCCGTCTCAGTGACCGCTGACCTTGACCCTGCGGTCGGAGCCATCACTGACCTGGTCTCAGGCGTGATGTTGGCCTCCGTGGTCTTGTCGGCCCCGGTGAGCGGCGCTCTGGCACGGTCCATGGTCGGAGGCCGGTCGTCGCCCTGCAGCTGCCTCCTCCGCGGCCGGCCGACTGGCGGCGCTACGTCGTCGTCCCAGCCGCCTGCCGCATTATCGCCGCCGTTAGCTGCTGGGGTGCAGCCGTATCGCTGACTCAGGCAGCCCCGGCCGCACGCCGCCACGACACGCGCCGCCGCCGCCCGGCCGTCTCCTGGGATCGACCCGCGGATCCGCGGTACAGGGCCCGCCGCTCGGCCACGCGGGCGCGCACTGACGCCGGCAGACGAGCTTCATCCGCCGCCCCCCCCCCCTCCCTCTCCCTCCGGATACGCGACGCGTCGAAGGGGAGGGCCGGTCGGCGACCGGGGCGGCGCAAGGTCAGGGGTACGGCGGAGGGAGGGGTGTGGCGGCGGTGAAGAGCGGTGCCGGCTGAGATTGCCGGATCAGTCTTTTTCTCCATCGGATGGCACGCTTAGGCCGTCTGGTTTCGGTTGTTGGGTTATTGGTCAGTGAAGCAGCGCGGTAAGCGATTAAATTTCGCGTTTGGACAACAAGCAAATGATGCGTCACGGTTTTATACCACAAAGCTCAGCGCGTTCCTTGCGCTGCGGAGAAGAAAAATGATTTGCAATGAGGCAGTACTTGCGGAGAGTATATAGCTCTTCTAGTCAAGCCCAATGCCGGCGGCCGGTTGATGAAATATGGATCACACCGCACGAGACCTTTCTGGTCGGGGCCCTCAAAGGCGGTGGACTGCGGCGCTATGACACACTAACTGGGACACACTTACTGGGATGTAGAAGGTGGATGGGTTTGTTATGATAAGCGACTCAAACACACCACCCGTTTGTGTTTTAAAACGTGACATTGCGCAAAGGTCTGTTAGTTCAGGGATTGCGCACAAGAAATAACGGTGATCTATAGCGTTCATTACTAGTGGTGTCCCAAAACGGGGGACAATTTCGGGCATTGCCCCTGCTCCTTCCCTGGAGATGACGACACCCTTAGGCTGAAGAACCCAAGTGCCCTCTCTCTCTCTCTCATTCTCTCTCTCTCTCTCTCTCTCTCTCTCTCTCTCTCCTCCTCTCTCTCTCTCTCTCTCTCTCTCTCTCTCTCTCTCTCCTCTCTCTCCTCCTCTCCTCTCTCTCCTCTCTCTCTCCTCTCTCCTCTCTCTCCTCTCCTCTCTCTCTCTCTCCTCTCCTCTCTCTCTCTCTCCCTCTCCTCTCTCTCCTCCTCTCTCTCCCCTCTCCTCTCTCTCTCTCTCTCTCTCTCTCTCTCTCCCTCCCCTCTCTCTCTCTCTCTCTCTCTCTCTCTCTCCTCTCTCTCTCTCTTCTCTCTCTCCTCTCTCTCTCCTCTCTCTCTCTCTCTCTCTCTTCCCTCTCTCTCAATTTCGTGAGTGGCAAACCAGATCTCTGTGACAGTGGCCACCCAGCCGTGCCCAGCCGACCAAATGCAGACCAGCACCAGCGCGGCCAAAGTTCATGCCGGCCGCGCTATCTCTCTCGCGGACGAACAAGACACTTCCGCCCCCGGTCAGTGTACGGGGGTGGGAGGGGGGGGGAGAGGCACGTGCCGCGTTTGGCAAGGCCGGCCAGCGCCCCGCCGGCTCAGGCTGATGAGTTGTCGGGTGTCACTGGCCGCTATAGTGACGTGAAGTCGTGACGGCTGGTGGAGCGCCCGCTCGCGGACGTCCGCCGACTCGTGGGTTTCGAGCCTGATTGGTCGCGGGTCAGGTCACCAAATTGGTTAGGTCATCACACTGGATGCTGCCCCCGCTATGAGCGGTGTGGTGCTTCGTGAGCGATTGGAACGCGCGCTACGATGATAGGCTTGCGTGCGGTAAAACAACCCGGTGCTGAAAACGTAATTCCAGATGTGTGGTGGAACACTACCAGCATTGGATGTGGTTGGACGTAATTACTTCAGAATCACAGGTGTTGATTCGTGTTTTTTGTTGCCCCACATAATCGTGTTGCACTGATGGTTACGCAGAACACGTTGCACGAAATGAAACAATGATATCAAAATCTGAACTGAAACGACCCGATCTGACGAAGGCTAGACGTTCTCGTTGGCCACATGCCGGATTCTTATCTTGCTCTCACCAATGAGCTCACGAGTCGGGGCCCCACGAGTGTGCGCTAACTAATCAGGTGTCCGCACCGCCGCTGATCGGTCCCTGCAAGCGTCACGTCCCGTCGCCTGTCACTCGAGCACCCCCGCTGCTACCAGGCACATACACACAGGCATCGAGCCCGTCCTCGCTCCGCGCCAGCCCCGCTCCACGAAAACGCCGTGATCAGGCACTCACCGCCGGCACTCGCTCCCACCACACACTTCACGCCAACACACTCGACACCCGGCCCGGCCGCCGACTCACCAGCGCCCGCCGTGGGCGTGGGCTGGGCGTCGGTCCGGGGGCGCGGGCTCTGTTTACACGGCGAGCGGCGGACGGCGGGTGCGGTGCTGTCGGCAGGAGCCCACGGGCTCGTGCCAAGGGCCGGGTTCACGGCCAGACGCAGCAGTGGCGCGTGGGATGCGTTGTCTACACAATCACGGCCTGACGGTCCACTCGAGCGCCGTCGGCCGGCGAGAGAGAGAGAGAGAGAGAGAGAGAGAGAGAGAGAGAGAGAGAGAGAGAGAGAGAGAGAGAGAGAGAGAGAGAGAGAGGCGAGGAAGTGCGTCGCGACGCGTAGTGCGAGAGTGCCGAACTCTCAGCCCCGTCGGAAACCTCTCCGCGAACGCAGCTTCAAAGAAAAGAGACTCCCGATACTGGCGATGACAAGACGAGACTGGGCGTTCCAGGCAGGGCCGCAGGGCGATCATACCTCGCCGTACTTGAGAAGGTATCGGCTCAAATGGACACGGTTGACGCGCTAAGAACGCAGAGATGTGTTAACAACAAAGTGGTTGTTGTTTAGATGGATGTGAGTCTTCTGATCTGTCCGTGGCACTGCACTTCTGTCGTGTTCTGCTGAGTTTTCCCACGCACCCATGCCTCAAACAGGGTTACCCGACAATGAACGCATCATGTCTAGGATCGCTGCCGTTTGTACGCGGGATTTTCCATATCGCTGTTCCTTTCAACTTTATTTTTTACCGTCCGCGGAACTCAGAGCAAAGGCTGCTCATTTGTTTAGCGCAATACTTTCACGATCTCCCGGCGGATTCTGCACCGACTCAAAACGGTCGTCACGAGATTCCTAAGGCCCAACTTGCATGAAGGCAACAAGCGCCGTGACTAAGTCAATAACTTAGCTAAAGTTCCGTTACGTGCTAAAACATGAAGTTGTGTAATAAATGGAATATGTTTACACAATAATCCGCTTGGTAACAGGGCCACTCCGCCGGAGTGACCACGTTAATGAAATGTATTGATTGAGTTGTTTAGGTTAGCTGTGCGTATAATCAGCCTCACAAAAGGAAAGCTCCTTGGAAGTAATACGTCTACCGGCAATTAGTGCATTTGTTTATATTTATTCTTCATGCCATTGTTGATGACTCACTGCGTTGATTTGCTGGTACTTATAATTGGGGCATTTCCCTCTCCTAAACCGACTGACGTGGAGCGACTGTAAAAGGTGGAAAAAACATTGGCTCACTGACAATGCATGAGGTTTTACGAAATAGATACTTCCGCCCTAACGTGGGCAGCAAACGTCACGTTACTGGGATTCCGCAACCAGCATTCATACATTCACACCGTCTCACGCGTGCTTGTTACCTGTTGCATCGAAGGGAGACCTGTAGTGTGTTCACTACACACAGTCCGCGCAAATGATGTACAATGATCAGACTCCTCAACTATGATCAGAACCGTACAGCCATGCAGCATGTGTCCCTCGGAATTTGTCGCCAGTAAACAGTGGCCACGTGGCGTAAGGCTAACCGCTGCATCCCCACCATCTGTCGTCACTGAATAATACCGGAATCCCTCATCGGCACGCCGGAGTCCCTATCGGCTCATAATTTGTCGCCGGAATCCCTCATCGGCTCATATGTGCGAACCTCGCCAGTTGGAGTTGCTGGAACGATTCCAACAATGGTACCCACAGTTACCGAGTTCACTGCCGCTGCTAATGGTCAGTTGCCCATGGTCATCTTAGCGAACCCCGCTCTGTGGCCGCATGTGAATCTACCAACGGAAAAAATCGGCCATGCTTCCGATAGCCTGACGCCCTCTTCCGACGTTCACCTTCTGGGATTCGCAAGAAGCCGCTGAAAAGTGAGTCTCATGTTCTTCTGCGAGTCGCCAATCCATCAACGGTACCCTACAACGTGCTACTGCTTCTCTCACCAGCGGCCAGCGACGTGCAAAAATGTGTCCCACTCCATCTGTGAGTCATGGAGAAATTGCCCAACAGCCACTCCTTAATTTCCGTAGGGAGTAGGACGTTTCAACCCACGGCTAGACAACTGCCTACGTACCGTGCAGGACCCCCTCTGCCGCTACCCGCGGGGAGTCATTAAGTAAACTACGACGCTTTCTGTCGAGTGGTACAAAATTCATGTCGCACATTTTCATGGATCTGCCATTTTTCGCAATGACTGTTCATTGAAACGCATAGAGCAGCACCGCCAGGCCGGGGTCAGCACGTCGTTTAACAGCACACATGAGCGACATGTTTGCATATTAGATATGGTAATTACTATTCTACGACGCAAGCACGAAAGGAGTGCACGACATATAACGGATCGGAAATAATGTGCGAGTACGGAAGCTCAACATTCCTACACACCTTCCTTTTCTTTAAGGTGCATTAACCCAACTCAAGTCTATAACACATAAAGGGCCGGGGATCCCAGGGAACCTCCGAAGTGTCGGCGATCCCTCCGCCGGGCTTACATTTTGCAGAGGCGTAGGCGCCGAGCGCCCGGCCGTCGGCGCGGCAGGCCGATAGAGCCTCCAACACTGCTGGCCCCACCATTGTGGCTACAGCTGCACTGTACTGCGTTCTCCCTGTGTACTGTTTTGCCTACGGCGGGATCAATGCCCTTAAAGGGCCGCCCTATTGATCGTCCTCTCGCACATGTCCGGAACGAGCACCCGCGCCAAACGTACAAACACTGTACTCGCACAGCGGGAAAAACAGCATGTGGCCCGCGGCGAATAGGCACACCGCGCACCACCGGCGACGGCAGAGTACTGCAGAGGGCTTGACAAGCGCAGAGGCTCAATCAGCACATCCAAACGAGGCATGATCGTGTCTCAGTTCGACGCGTCCACGCTGTAAGGGTGTGATGCAGGCCGAGCACAGAGCGATAAGGATCGAAGCGTTCTGATGTGTGGGGGTATCGCATGCTTTCGTCTTGGCAACATGGAAGCGGCGCGAAAAATTTATCGGGAAAGTGTTCAAATCCGGGTGGGGTCGATTTCCTATCGCCTGTTTAAGGTCTCATAGGCCAGACAAATCGGTATTAATTCGCTTATAAATGGGCACTTTTTATCTAATTGGGCATTTGTTGACTGAAGGTAGCTGGCATGCCATACAGACTGATCACTGGGATGTTTCTCTGGTTCGTAGGCCAGTTTCATCCCTTCGGTCTGCCAGGAAGTCATGGTAAGCATATGAAGTCTGATCGTCTGAGCAATGACATTGCCTTCACTGCCGCGTGATACTAGGTTTAGAAATTACATATAAAAGTCTGACTTTAAATTCAAGGTTTAGATGGATTGAGCCAAGACCAATCATTATGCCCCTGTTCCGCAGACTCACCATGGACTGTGGCTCCTCTAGACATGACAGTCTCCTACCATCGCGCAAACTACACCTGACCCGGTGGTGATGCTCGTTAGCTCCACTATCTGCCGACTCAGTGACCTGAGGTAGTCGTCTCGGCCTCTTCAGCGTCCTTCAGCGTGCGTATTTCAATTCTAGCCCACTCTCCGTAGCAGACTTCATCTTCGCCGGCGCCGTCCTCGTTTATTCTCTCCTTCCGCATCATAAGCCAAGGCCAGCCTCAGGACCAACATGAAGCCGTCCTCATCCGGAGAGTCAGTACGGGCATACAGTGTATTCTCGCCTGCGAATACCATACACGGCATGACCGAGCAAACCGCGACAGGCTGGGTCGGGAAGATCAAGAGCAGAGTTCAGCGAGACGTGGGATTCTGGTGACAGGTTGCAGGTGCTGCTGAGGCTTAGTGCATTTCTTTCGTCGGGATAGATAGGGCGGAGAAGCCGAGTTTTAGGTTAATTTCATCCTGGTTACACAGATCACACACTTATGTTAGGCTTCCCAGACAACTAGGGTTACCTGCGCTCTAACCTTTACGCCTTCACATTACGAAACAGCCAGTCTTTTTGCCCCGAAGACAATCAGCTCAAGTTGCCAACTTGTGGCTTGCTTAGGCCCTCACCTCCGCTTCCTCCTTTCGATCAATGCACCGACCTCTGCTGGTTGCCTGCACATAGGGAAAATGCTACGGGTCTGTCCCAGTTGTCCCGCCCTCTTGCACCGTGCCTGTGGTCGCTTCTAACAACTCTAATACCCTATTCTGCTGGAAGATCGAAAAAGTCAGAAAAGCCAGCCGCTGTTGGTGTTCGGTACTTGCCTGGAGCGCGACTTTAAAGCCACCCATGATATCTTTGCATCTGAAGCAGGCGCAGGGCAGTCATCCTATTGATTCTACGAAATAACGGACACCAAACACAGATTCGGTCCACTAAATAACGGACATGAGCGGACCGGCGTATGCTAAGCTAATCCAGGATTCAGTGGTATAATTTTCTAAAATCGGTAAGTGTGCCTGCGGCGGCAATGATGATCTAGCCTGCGTCTAAAACCTGATTTATCCCCATATTTCGACCACTTGAATTTGCATCCCGAAGTTGAAATTAAGCAATATTTTGACTCCAGAGGCACAGCACCATGGATAATCGGCCGGACGATTAACTGCCCGCAACATGTTCAGCTGTTGCACATCCTGGAGTGCCAAGGAGTCCACATGGAGCGCCTTTTTTGTCACGATCTGACGGATATGGGATCACTGATAAGGAATTTCAGGGGCGCAAGATACGCATACAAAACATGATGATCTGTTTGACGCAAAAACAATTTACCCTCTGTATTTTCCGAGGGAACAGCTTATTTGTACCGCGTTTGTCGGCACATTCGGTTAGCTATCCCACTTCGGTGACCAATCTGCGCAACTTACACTTGACCGGGTCAAGTGGGGGCCGGGTTGACCCTCACCTAAATATTTGAAACTAGTGTTGTCACTAACGATCCAGCGGCCACCGTCTTGAAGGGAATGAAAGGAAGGGAAGATTTAATACTTTTATTTTTCCTATGGCTCTGGGATCGTCCAAGGGAGAAATGACTCCATGCATACCCTTCCGTCTGCATTCGCCCCTAGAATCACGTGATCATAGTTTTGCAGTCCAGCAGTCGCCTCGTCTATAAGTTGACACTGAGACAGCGAGAGACCATACAGCGAAGTAATGCGTGACGATACAAAGGCCGCTTCCGGAGGTCCTACCTTTCCATGCCCCGTGAAAAGTAGAAAGATATCCACTTAATCTCGAATCTCGTATACTTCCAAGTCGACGGTGTCCAGTGTGATTTTCCAGGTCATTGGGTCCCGGGACATCATCAATGGGAAGTAATACATTGGGCCCGAGCGAGATGGTTTGGAGACATTTACGAGTTCGTCTGGTCGCTCTCGCTTGCTCTGGGGACACTACTTGTTGACGGAAACCTCTTTGTTGGCATGCCGCGACACCCATGAAAGCTCAGGTTCCGTCCGTCCCCATTGGCCTTAGTGCCTTGTTAGCCTTAGGGCAGCAGTCGGGTATGCGTCGATTAACTTTTACGCGGAACTGTGGAACATAGTTTTACGTGTCGCCGACGTCGCACGTGTCATTTCCGTCGGTTATTGAATTTGTCCCACCTACTTGCGCATCACGTTCTAAGTACGTTCCAAATACCAGGATAGTTTATACTCCTTCATGTCAAACAAAACAAAACTGCATTAGTTATCAGCCATAACCTTCTAACATCGACCACCTGGCTAGCTGTAAACAAGCTAGGAGTCAAGTTCGAGCTTGATTTTAAAAGTATTCAGCAGCCAATGTTAGTTTATGTTACCACATTTTTCCGAAAAAAAACTTAGCCTCAAAAGGACAGGATCCGCCATGTTCTGGAAAAAATGAATAAGCTTTTTGTACGTGCATGCGCAACACGTTGATTTTTCTAGGGCTACACAGAGTAAGATGGCTTCCCGTTTTAGCACGACATTCTAAGAAACTTCAGATCCAATGACCCGAATGCGAGGGCTCTTTTTGAGGGTGGGAGTGGGGAGGGGGGGGGGGGCTCAGCGCTAGAGGGCCGCACAATGTTGCGTGCCCTCCCGCCCCCTTGACGAGATCCTGGATCTGCCCATGCTTACCACGACAGGGTCTAGGCACCGCAGCATGAAGCAGACACGCCCGTTCTCCGGAACGGCCCGTCTGATCGTCTCGAAACCTTCGCGAGTCGATTCAACGCGA